TGTTTCTGGAGGAAGTGCATTATGCTGCTGTTGCCTTCCACCCCGCTGAATATCCCTCCAAACTCTCTTTTCAAATAATTTATATTTGTTTCATCAATGATGTTCTCACTTTTTGGTTTCTTGCTTGGGTATTCATTAATCAAGAAGATTTTCTGAATGGGATCAAACTTGTAACGACGAAAGCACAATTGATGGTTACTAGGAAAGCAATCTTGTAACATTCAAATGCCAAAAGATTTTCAATTTCGATTTCAAAATTAATAACCAATATACCAAACCGTATATACAATAATTTGTAAATGTAGTATTACCTGTAAAATAGTGAGGTGAGATAAGAAGTGTAGCTATACAATTGGGAGAGTCCTCATTCGGATTGAGCCTATATGGATTGTTTGGAAAAATAGATTCTCGAAAAAATCATCTTCTAATGATGTTTTGAAGAAGTATTATAGGGAAGCTATTCGGCTGTCTCCCCATAGAAATTTGCTGCTTCTATGATCTATCCATCCTGGGTGAACCAAAAATTTTCAGTTCAGGAAAATGGAGAAACAATGTGTGTCAGAGACGAATCGAGTTTGTAGAATAAGTTGCTCCTAATTGCTCAGCCATTTGCCAAAGAGGGTGCTGGAAGTCGTTGGGGAAAACATGGCTGAAGACAACTTTACACCCCTTTAAGACTGATTTCCGAACTGTTTTCAGCGCCTGTAAAGCAAGACACCATAATGTTATTAGCATGAAACTTTACTAATCATTATCATCATGAGCAATTTTACAAGAACATTATGAACCCGAATTCAATATGTAACATCTTACTTGCCTCACATCTCTGCTAGCAATATCATCCTCAAGTTCCTAAAATTAGGTATCCAAATCAATAGAGTCAAGCACATAAAACAAACATCAATTTCAAAGGAAAGGATCAGGGTCAGGATCATACTGAAAGAACTATGATGGATCTGCTTTAAATTTGTTGTTGAATTGGTGGCAACTTGAAGAGAAGAAATGATATCTTTCCATGAGAATCAATTATCCTTATGTTTCTTCCATGCCTAAAATAAAGACAGCAACACATAGGATGATCATTTTTTAAATAAGATATGACAATTAATTATATTGCTGATATAAATACATTTACATTTTCTGTGTCATCAAGGATCACAATAGCGTTTTCATGACCCAGCACAAACTCAGACTTTTTCATGTCTTTGAGTACCATCATCTCGTGAAATCACTATGTGCCAAAGTACACCCACTAGGATCAAGCAGCTCAGCCATTTGTAACGCATACGGTCTATCACCCAGTGTATGTTACATTTTGAACATATTACTTGCTTCTTTCAAAAATGTTTGAACAAAGGGCCTCAACTTGGTCATCATAGTATAGAATCCAACATGAAGAGGCTGCCTCCGAAACATCTATCCATTCAAATATTAGAAAAAATTCAATAAAATTGTTTATACAACATCAAATGTGGAGACTGTATCGGCTTGTCTCAAGCAATAACTGAAAAACTTATCTTCCTTGATATGAACTACATGTGACTAAATAAGAATAAAGTACATAACTTAAATTCGGTGCAAGGTATACTAGAGTAAAGAGATAATCAATAATCTAGTTCAGTTGATTATGCTGAGTATAATAATGCTTTTTATGTGATTGAATCAACAGTATTTTGGTTATGTTCCAAACTTGCTGCACTCACCAACTAAATGTATGCCCAAGGGGACCATTTTTACTATAATCAATCCATAAGCTTACCATTTCTGTCCTTTCAGCCTGTTACTTGTTGTTCTATTATAGGAAACCAAAATCAAAGTTCGTAGTTTGGCATTCAAGTATGAACTACAAAAGAAAATAAAAATAACTAGCACTCAGCCAAATATCGACAAAACAATGACATAAAAGCAAGAAAACAATTTCAAGCAAGCCAACACAGAGATAGGCAACAATCACATACCTGCAGAGGATGTGTTTGAATCTTCAGATATTCTCCTGTGGAGTCAAACGAATTATCTCAGTTGAATTGACAGTGTATGATCAAGGTCGAGTACCAAGTAAAGCTTTTTCATTTCGTGATAAATTTTTCATGTCCTGGGTTCGCAATCTAACGACATCATTGTTTCCAAGCCTTAGACCCTACAATTACAATTGTTTCCAAGCTTAGACCTACAATTACAATTGTTTCCCCACATTATCACTAAGAGCAAATTACAAATTACTGCTAGTATAGTATTAACAAACCAAAAAAAAAAAAAAAAAAGAAGAAAAAGAAATAGATAAGTATAACAACCTTGTGACATACCCCAAGCACACCCAAATCCTTTTCCAACTCTGCCCACAAACACAACACGTGCCTTCGAAAGACTTCATCTCTACATACATGCCTCTTAACACATTCATTGGTTCCCATGAGTGGAACTTTTTTGCCCTTTTCTTTGCTTACCGTCCAACAACTCGTCCAGGACTGCCACAAGTCATCAGTGTCAGTCTCAGTGCTGGAAAAGTTTGGGCTAAATCCTTTAATTGTCAGCCATCTGAATCACAACATTCTCTTAATAAATATATATAAAAAAATAAAAAACTCTGTAAAGGATAAAATATACAATACCAAGCAATTGATAAATGATACAACATAGCAATAATCTATTGAAAAGACAAACCCTGTATGAGCTTAATCAATCAAGCCTCTCCAATCCATAACTCTTAAGCAATTGTTACTATACTCTCAGACAGCCTCACGGGAACCTAACACCAGAAGACTACCTTTCAGAACTATACCACGATATTGAAAATTTCGATCAAGTCCCAAAATTCCTAATAATAAACCAAAATCCTGGACACGATTAGTTCCAAATGCTTTTAAAGAACACATTTCAACCATTCCCAAAAATATAGTGTGTATAAATTAGAACTTCTAACTAAGTATTAAAAAAAAGTCATATAAGCAAAAAATCTCAAATCTCCTTCACAACGAGACATATGATTATCACTATAATAAGAAACAGACTTCCAACTGTGGGTGATTAATACTGTAATAGAAGAAAGTATAATTTTCAATATAGAATTCGAAATATATAGAATATTCTTATTCAATTCTGTATATACAATCTATGATAATAGAATAGATTCATAAAGTGTAGACTCATAAAATTGGTTAAGAGAAAAAAAAAACATTTCTCAATATGAAAAAAAAAAAAATCTTATTATCGAATTAAAAATACGACATTTATTATAACCTGATCTTATTATCGCCGAATTTCGCTTCTGATGTCTCTCTAAGTCTCTATTTCGTTACCTTCTACTACCGATCTTCTCTTGCTGCTTGCTTCGCTTGTTTCGTTTAGCTCGCTTATTTCGCTTTCTTTAAAAAAAAAAAAAAAGAACAGCAGCCAAATACTTTTAATGAGAGTAATCAGGATGCTTTCAGCAAGAACAATTGATAAATATGTCGAAATTCTAGATGTCCTTATTCTAGCAATCAATCGTTAATAAGTCACAGAGGAGACCTACCGCCACAGCCACGGAAGAAAATGGCGAAAGAGAGAATGCGCCTTCGAGTCCCGAAGAGGTGAGGGAGATTTTGAAATTAAAATCTTGAAGTCAGTACTCAGTAGTGTATATATTGAGAGTTGGTTTGTCTTGAAGTCAGTACTTAGTGGTGTAGATATTTATAGATGGTTTGTATTGTCATCCCCTGAGAGACAAGGAAATTTTGCCCCCAGGATTTAGAAAAGTTTTAAAAAACCCCCTAGTCCCACTTCCTGTTATAACCAGTAACTCACTCTCTTACTATTACTAGAAAGAAAATACTATACTCACAATCTCTTTTCACAAACTCTCTCTCATAAAATGGACATAATAGCTCGTAATTGGTCAGCTCGTAATAGGTGTTACATGATAAATTGCGGCTGACTAATTACCAACATTACATTAGGATTGTGAGAGAAAGTTTATGAAAGAGGTTATAGGTTAGCATATTTTACTAGAATTAGAAGGAAAGAGAAAAGAGCAGAAAAGGAGAAAAAAAAACAATAATGCTTAAGCTACAAAGAATTTACAAAGATTTCTTGTATAAATGATGTGATAAGAGATGAATAGAAGATTAATATAACTAAAAGTTAAACTTATCATATTTACTCTTCCATCATCTTCTATCAGATCACTTAGTACAATAAATCTTTGTAAAATTTATGTACTTTTAGCATTGCCCAAAAAAATAAAAAAATAAAAAATAAAAGAGTGAAGGAAAGGTGATGCAGGGGGGTTTTTAATACTTACCAAACCCCTGGGGGCGAAAATTTTCGTATCTTCAGGGGGGTTGAGAATTGAAACCCTATTTATAGTGATAATGGTTACGGCGTCGTTAAGTTCAATGTTTCAGGGGCAAATCAGATATTTCAATAGTCTATTAAAATTTAAAAAGGGCAGCTTCTAATATATATAAAAAAATTCGCTTTTTTATTTATTAAGAATTTTCAACGCCTCCCAGGCTCCCCCTTACAATTCACAGATCCCCTCTCAAATTCAGTCGAAAATGTTTCTTAAAACTTCACTCGTTTCTTCAAAATCAACTTTAAAACTTAGATTTTATCTTCATTTTCAGTTTCCAAAATCAACTCACAGAATCACCCAAACACACCTCTACTTCTAAACACCATGCTCAACTTTAAAATTTCCTCGATGTAAACTGCAGATCTGGTAAATTCTCTCTTGATGAAGCTCTTTGTTTCTTCGATTACAGATTCATATGCACCCAATCCTCCTGTCTCATCATTCGTGTTTTCTTTTCTGCACTCGCTAAGAAAAAACATTATGATAAACTCCTTTGTTGTACAAGAGGTTCGTTTCAGCTGGTGTGTCTGATTTGGTTATTTTGAACATTGTCTAATTGCTTATGCAAAAGGCAGGGTTTATGATGGTTTTGTTGTTTTTGGGAGTATTTTTAGGAGGGGTTTTTACCCACGTACTGTGACTTACTTGTCTAATTAGTGGTCTTTGTATGGAGCATAAGATTAAGAAGGCGATTGATTGCTTAGGAAAATGGGTTCTTTTGGTTGGTACGCCTAACGTAATTACTTTTGGGACTTTGATTACTGGGTTGTGTCGAACAGCCAATGTCACGTTTGCCCTTCAGTATTTAGAAGAAATGGTTAATGGGAATGGTGAATTTGGTGTCACTTGTGAGCCTAATATTGTTGTTATGATAGAATTATTGATGGTCTTTGCAAATATGATAAACTGTTTTCAGAAATGAAGAATAGGGGCATTAACCCAAGCGTGGTTACTTACAACTCTCTAATTTATGTTTTGTGTAATAACATCAAATGTGGAGATTGTATAGGCTTGTCTCAAGCAATACTGAAAGCTTATATCCGAAATAATATGTTCAGTTTTCAATTCACTAGTATGCTAATCTGTTGATGTTGGTGGAAGTCTCTTTTATTGATTTTGATAATATCATAATTCTTGAAGCCTTTAGGTACTTGTTTTGTAGAGTGTATGTAGTTTTTCTTGTTGGATTAGCATGTTTCACAGTAGCCGTGAATACCAACGTAGTGAATTAACTTCTGAATGTAATTAATTCTGATATAATATTAGGTTAGAGTAATGATACTTAGCCCAAGATATACCTATGTTTCTTCTTCATCTTTAGTGTAAATTGTTGTCTTCATCTTTAGTGAGCATGACCATTGAGTTGCAATATTGTTTATTTAGCTTCGGTGTTAGTTGCATGTATGTTTCTCTGTTTGTTTGTTGAGACAATGAAATAATTCATTGTCTCTGTTTGTTTAATGAGAAAAACTTGCTGCAATGAAGAAACCGAATTAACTTGTTTGTTTGGGTTGCAATAAGCAAAAAGAAACATTATCAATGAAGCAGATCACTTACACACTGTGCTGAGAGGTGGTTTATTGAACAGGTATATATATATATATATTATTATTAACTAATTTGCAAGTTTCTTTATAGGGATATAAGTGAGTACTGCGTAAAGCTTGCTAAGGGCCCAGCTAAGGTGGCTGCTGGTATGTATAATTGTTTCATAACCATCTGTTTGCTGGAATGAATCATTATTTTATCGTCTTTGTTTAAAAAGCTCCAATGTTACGTTTCTGTTTGGTTATTGAGAAAATGGTATATAATTTCCTTAGCATTAATAGTTTCTTTTTGTTTTGAACTCTGAAGAGCAATTCATTAAATAGCTAGTTTCGTTATATTTTTACTGAAAATTTCAGTCAAAGAAAACCGCACTACAATAATGTAGTTATGCTTGGAATGAAAATCAATAATTGTTTATTTCATTTTAGGCAGAGATTAAAAAATTGGAGTAGTAGAATCTTAGTTTCTTTTCATAAATTAATATTCATTAACTGTATGTGCTTAAATTTTTGCTTAATAATATCATCAATTTTTAGTTAAATGCATGTTAGGGTTCATAGTGTTTTCTTTTTCTCATTCTTAATTTTATTAATTTGTTATTGCATTTTATATAAAGTTATAAAAACTAATTCTCTTGGCATTATTTTGTCTTCCCTGATACTGTTATGTGTGCATATATATATATACACACACACTATGGTTTTGGGCATGGTGTGTATGATAACCATGATTGCACTTTAACATATTAAGATGAATATTTCTGCAGACAAGACAGATAAAAACTTTGGAAAGCAATTAACTTCTGACTCTCGATATGAGACTGAGTTCAGCACCAAAACTCAACTTGGTAAGCTAAAGCCTATAAAGTAAACCTAAATCTTTGATCTAAATTGGATATAAGACCACATAGGTCATATGTGCTATTGTCTTTTGTTACTAAATATTATATTGTTTATATATAACTTCACAGTTTTTTTTTTTTTTTTTGTTTTTTTTTAATTTTTTATCCTTTCTAATAATTCTTTTAATTTGATTACTTTTGGTAATTTTAGTTGTGGAAATTTATGTCTCCTTCAATATATTATTTATCTGTCAAAAGTGTATCATGCTATAAAATCAGTTTCAAATTTGGAGTTCTACTTGAAACTTACGATGTCACAGGTATGGATGGTTATGGACGAGTTGTAAAGGCTATGAACATGTTGTACAAAAAAATTTATGCCATCAAAACTATAGAATTTAATGATGACAACAGTGAAAAGGTTTTGAGGTATAACTTTTTACTTTGATACGAGCTTTATCTTTTACAACATGTCATCTTTTGTATGAAGGACTTCTCCTAATTGGATTTACTGATCTGGTTCCATTATGATGTGATGGTAGGGAGGTATGTGTTTTTGCTCGTTTACAGCATAAGAATATTGTTCGGTACTACCAGGTTACAATCTTTTCAGATTTCTGTTTGTTATAATTGATTTGTTGATATACTATATTACTCATCTCTATTCAAATATGTTCATGATATTTAATTTGGTTCCCTTTTGAGATTTTTGTTCATTGTATGTCTTAGTTTCTTCTAAACTTTTATTCTAATGTATATAATAATTTCAGGCGTGGGTTGAGAAGAAAGATGATGTTAAACAAGATTTCAAAGGAACTAATATCAAAGACAGTTGTATGTACATTTAGATGGTGCTTTGCTCTAGGTATTCTTCTCAATTCTTATTCCGTTTTTCTTTGTAATCTATTATAGTAACTTATTATTTCTTGCTTTTACACAGAACATTGGAAGATCATTTTTTGCAGAACATTGGTGAGGACAGAGCTTGGACTATTTTTCGATAAATAGTGGAAGGAATACGCCATATGCATGAGACTTCTGTAGTTCATTGGGATTTATCAACAACCAATATCTTATTGGACGATTCTGACAATGTCAAAATTAGTGCTTTTGGACTTGGTATGTTCTTGACTCAATGTCTAATATCATTTAAAAATTCAGTGTTTATGTTATATTAACTCTTTTTATTGGCTTTCTTTTGTTGAATTTACCATTGCAGCAAGGATTTTCTATAGGGGTATACCTCATGGCACTAGTTCTGACATGTCGGAAGTGTCCAGGCCACCTGAAGACTTTGACAATGCTGTAAAAGTTGACATTTACGGCTTGGGTTCGAGCTACTAAGTAATTTTAGAACAAGTTTAGAAAGGAGGGAGGTCCTACAATCACTTGAAAGAGGGATCTTCTCTGATAATTGGAAAGAAGATAGCAAAAACTTCGTATTTGCAATAGTATTTATCAGAGAAGTTTTTGCTATCTTCTTTCCAATTATCAGAGAAGATACCTCTTTCAAGTGCTTGTAGGACCTCCCTCCTTTCTGAGCTTGTTTTGAAATTACTCAGTAGCTCGAACCCAAGCTGTAAATGTCAACTTTTACAGCATTGTCAAAGTCTTCAGGTGGCCTGGACACTCCCGACATGTCAGAACTAGTGCCATGAGGTATACACCTATAAAAAATCCTTGCTGCAATGGTAAATTCAACAAAAGAAAGCCAATAAAAAGAGTTAATATAACATAAACACTGAATTTTTAAATGATATTAGACGTTGAGTCAAGAACATACCAAGTCCAAAATCACTAATTTTGACATTGTCAGAATCGTCCAATAAGATATTAGTTGATAAATCCCAATGAACCATAGAAGTCTCATGCATATGGCGTATTCCTTCTACTATTTGTCAAAAAATAGTCCAAGCTCTGTCCTCACCAATGTTCTGCAAAAGATGATCTTCCAATGTTCTATGTAATAGCAAAAAATAATAAGTTACCATAATAGATTGCAAAGAAAAACGTAATAAGAATTGAGAAGAATACCTAGAGCAAAGCTCCATCTGAATATACATACAACTGTCTTTGGTATTAGTTCCTTTGAAATCTTGTTTAACATCATCTTTCTTCTTAACCCACGCTTGAAATTATTATATACATTAGAATAAAATGTTAGAAGAAACTAAGACATTGTAATAACTGTTTTATACTAGGATACTCATAGAAATCCATCAAGTACATATATTTATATTAGGGTTTAGGGCCCAAAATTTTCTTTTAATACATCTAATCATTCTTTATACAAAGTAAGGCATCATTAGTAAAAGTTATAAAAAACAGTGGACAGTGTAGCTATTACTCCTCGCTTGTCGATGCCCATTCGACCGCATCCTCACCTAGATCCTGTAAACACAAAGAAAAACAATGGGGTGAGCACAAAATAATGCCCAGTAAGTAAATCCTCTACTCGTCTATCCCCGTAACTCTTTCTCTTAATTTTTTCCTTACACTCTTCTCATATTATTTATTTTCTCTTTCTGTTTCTCTTTCACATAGCTCTTTTCTATCAACTTTTTATTGTATGTTACGGCCTCATCTTACCGGAGACACGGCTGAGTGGAGATCACAAAGCACTCACTCACTCTTCGTGACTTATACTCATTCTCTTCCTCTATTTTTTCTTATGTTTTCTCATTCTTTCTCAATGTAATGTCACAGCCTCATCTTACCGGAGGTACGGCCGGGTGGAGTTTCCAAAGCACCAACCCACTCTTCGTGACTTCTGGGTGGAGTTCACTAAGCACCAACCCATTCTTCATAACTTCTGGGTGGAGTTTACAAAGCATCAACCAATTCTTAGATTTTTCTCATTCTCTTTACTTTTAGAGTAGCCAATTCACAAAGTTCTCTACTCTTTCTCAAACTACTTCTCAATGCACAATTAATGCACAAGGATGGTTCATGCTTTAAGTTTCTTACTTAATGCACTTATGAAATGCACAAATGTAATATTGCATCAAAACAGTCATTCTGTGCAGGTCACACTCAAGGAGGCATAACTTGAGTTTTACACTTTGGATTGCTACAGTTTTGGTCTCGTTTTAAAGCTTAGAGACAGGGCTACAATTTTTACGTTTTGGTCTTAACCCAGTTCAATCTGTAAGATGCCCAAAAGTCACTCAGAAAGTCACGGCTGGGACAGGGCAGTTTTCACTTAAGCATATCATCAAACATTAATTGTGCATAAATAAACCCTAATTCCAATTATCATTCTATTTGGTNACTTGAAGGCACCAATGTTGACCAGGCAAAGAGATACTTGAGGTAAATGTGGAATTTGAGCTGATATGAAACCTCTTTTGAATGAGAATTTTGATCTGATATAACACTTCATGAACTAAAGGTTCTGTTATGAAAGCTTGATTTTCCCTAATGGTTCTGCAGGAAAGTTGTTATACACTAATAACAGCAGAAGATCTGGATGCTGCTGAGAAAGCAGTTAAACCAACTGTCAAATGAGTAAATCGATGATACAAGCCTGTTGTTCCTATTCTTCATACTTTTGGGACAGTGCATGTAATTTCCTACACGATACTGTTTTGTTTGCCGTCTATTTCCATCCACCGGTGGAGATAGAAGGCTTCGGATAAAAGGGATTATGAAATGAAAAAGTGAAGATACAGAGTCGGATTTTGTATTCTTATTGTGTAACTTAACTATCAATGTAAAGAGTTGAATGATTTTAAAGAGCATTTCTGTGCCCATGGAAATGCAAATAACTATGCAATCTTCGTGGAAATGTAATAGGCAGTGCATTGAATAGTGTGATCATCGGATTTTCACACAAAAATAAGCCTTCAGCTACCTTTCACCATTCAAATCATACAGAATTCTCTTCCTCATTCACACCCATCCTGGAACTTCCAACGGATGTGCTGAAAAATATAAGCGCCAACTGCATCAATGGTGTCCAAAAACTCCTCTGACTCCTCCTGCTTCGTCCCTTTGTATTTACTTCTCTGGCCATTATTCCTGTGAACCCTATCAAAACGCCTCTACGATCAATGTGATTTCAATCTGCTTTCGCTTGAAACTGGCATCTTGTGTAGGTTAGCCTATTGAAAAAAGCTTTTCTTGATATAAGATTGTTGATTATGTTATTATAACCAGGACTTAGATATATCTCATTGTATCAATAAAGTTTGCCTATTAATGCAAAACCATTGTATATAAATTGGAAGGCAATTAAAAGAATATTTAGATATCTAACCGATACTATTGATCATGGTCTTTTAGTCAGATGCTAAGTAGGCAATTGACCTTGATGATAAAAGGTCAACTTCTGGATATTGTGTATATTTGAGAGGAAACTTGAGATTTTGGAGTTTGGAAAAGCAACCAATAACATTTTAAGATCGTCAACTCAAACTGAGTATCAAAGCCTAACTCATGTAAGTGTAGAGATATTATGGCTACAAAGTTTAATTATAGAACTTAAAATTTTGTAGACAAAGCCATCCTTAATATGGTGTGAAAATCTCAATGCTATCTCATTAAAGATATTCCACAAGCATGAAAAATTTGATCTTTTCTTTTAAACTTTAGTTTGTTGGTGGGAAGGTACAGGAGGAAGTGGGTTTTTGTTTGGAAACTGAAATTTGTATATACCTTTGTGTTTTTATATTTATATGCATGGTTTTAAAAACTGGACTGGACCGGCCGATCCAACCGGTTGGACTGGGACCCAGTCACATGTCCGATTCGAGTCAATATAAAACCCGGTCATATTCAATAACCCGCTATGAACCACCATTGAATCGGGAAAATAGTGCGAACCGCCAGTCCAACCGGACAACTTTACCAATGTTTCAAAAGGAGAAAAAATCCCTAACTCTTTCCAGTTTCTCTACTTTCTCAGTTACTCTATGCAAAATCCTCTCAAAATCTGAAATCTAAGCTACCCACTCAAATCGCCACTCAATCTCAATGAACTCCACTCTCTGAAGTTTGAAATCACAACCATTGTGTCAATCGCAACTCTACTCTCTGAAATCGACGACGGCGCCTTCCTCCCTCATCAGAAATCGACGATGACAGCTCCATTCCTCACTGGAAATCGACGACGACGACGATGACAACTCAATTCCTCGCTAGAAATCGACAACAACACAACTCCATTTCAGAAAGTGTAAGTTTTTCATGAGTCACGACCCTTTCCATTTTTGTAGATCTAGTTGATGTATCTAAGTTTTTGTTATATGATGAGGAGTTAGGAAATAATTTATAGCTTATCTAGATTGTTTCACCAGTCATGCCTATCTTGAATTAAATATGCGGATGAGAATAGGCATTTGACTAATGCCAATCTCTGTTTTAAAAACCGGACCGAACCGGTCGGTTGGACCAGGACCCGACAACTTCTCTAGTCCGGTTCAAGTCTTAGGGGGATTTTTGCAATATTTCAAAATTATAAGGGTTATAGGCATGTTTTGAAGATATGTCAAAAGTTTAGGGATTTATTGGTAATTTTATTGGGTATTTTTGAAATAAATAAAAATTTGAGGGACTAATAACTTTTTAGGGATATTTTTGTAGTATATTAAAGTTTAAGGGATTAATATGTAATTTTTTAAAAATAAAATTGTCGCTGACATCATCGGTCTAACCGGCCGGTCCCATCGATTGGACCGGTTCACCTGTGACCTGGGCAATGAAAGAGGTTACTCTTCGGTTCGGGTTTTAAAACAATGATGCCAATGCTGTTACTCACAATTTGAGGAATACATTATCTTAAACAATTGGAAGAGCTTACAGATGGCAATCTTAAAACAATTTCATTCACTTGATAGATCCGATTGCTCCATTGACGATGACAACCTAGGTTCAATCATTCCTTTAACCAGAATCAGATTTTTTGAACACAACAACCTATAATGAATGTAAAACACATCATATTGTCAAATGCCTAAAGGCTAAACTTTTATTTTATTTTTTAAATCAATCAACCAAGTTAAAGACCATATTACTCATGGTAGATTTTACTCAAACACATGTTAAGTTTATGATTCATTATTAAAATTAATAACAGAATAAATCATAGAATAATTTTTGAAATTCCTTAAAGCTCAATTAAACTGAGATTAAGAGTCATATTAAGAAATTTTTTCTAGAATGTTATGTTGATAATTTTACAGCTCTTTTTATTTGGCATAATTTTATGACCTTGTAGCTTTTATCATGTTTGTCCTTTCTTTTCAATGCAATTTGCATTAATTAGATTCAATCCTTGAATGCATCCATAATATGTTGGTGTTTTAATATGTCAAATATATACTAAATTGTTGTTATTTCTTGTG